AGAAACTAGAGACATTTATAGCTAAATGGATGCATATTGAGGCCATCCTCTTAAGTGAAATAAATAGGACACACATGTGTAAATATTGAATAGTTTCTCTAGTGTGAGAAACTGAAAGTGTAAATAAGGATGGAAATGATTAAAATGAATAATTGATAATTTGAAATAGGAAAATGTCCAAGGGTTTGAGGGTGGTGGGAGGGGAAGGGGAAAGGGAAGAAGGGAAAGGAAAAATTATGAGAAAGAAAAAAATGGAATCAAAGTCTATGTAAATAGGGAAGGGTGGAGGGGGTGAAGGTTGCACAGGTAATGGGAGAAAAAATAAGAACTAAGATACATCATGTTCAGGTACAAACACCCAATGATAAATGTAAATGTATTGTATCCCTAAAATGTACCAATAAATATATAAATAAAAATTTTTAAAAAAATTTTTAAAAGACTAGGTGTCTTAAATAGCAAACATATTCCTCATACATATGAAGGTTGGGAAGTTCAAGATCCAGGTACAACCAGCAGATCCAATGTCTGGTGAGGTCAGTCTTCCTGATTTGCAGACAGCCATCTTCTTCTTGTATCTTTATATGACTGAGAGAAATAAAAAGAAAGCTATTTAGTAAGGGCACCAATACCATTAAGGAGAGCTCTACGTCCATGGTCTAATTACTTCCCCAAGTCCCTGTTTCCAACTACCATGACATTAAGAGTTAGAATTTCAACATATTATTTTAGGGGAGCACAAACATTCAGCTCATATTAGGTGCCATTATGGCTGATGGTCCTTCATCTACTTCCTTGTTTTACTCTTTAACTGACACAAATTGCTCTTCTGTCCAGACAGAATCTGAACCAAGTTGGTACAAGCCAGAGCAGAGTGATGAGTTCCAGTTATTTTCTATTTGTAGCACAACTAAAATTATGTGTTATACAGTAACAGAGGTTAAGAGTTGCACAGCACTTAAGAGCACAGGTTCTGGAATCAGCATACCTGAGTTCAAATCATTAGTCACTCACTCTCAATTGTGCAACTTTTGGACATTAGTTAATCTATTGATGTTACAAGTTCTTTACCTATTATAAGGCATAATTATAGTCACCTAATGATATTTCAATATCTAGATACGTTAGTACAGAGGTCACCTAATTTTTTCTATAAAGGACCAGATAGTAAATATTTAAAGTACTATGGGCCATACAGTCCCTGTGGTAACTCTTCCATCATAATATGAAAGCAGGCATAGACCATACCTGAATAAATGGATGTGACTATGTTTCAATAAGAGTATTTACAAAAACAAGCAGCAGGATAGATTTGCCTCACACCAAGTAAGAGGTCAATATGGTATGTTATAAATTCATAGTAAATAGCATTTAACTCTGTTTGTTATTCTTCTCTGCCCATAATTTCTCTATCTCAATGGGCTCCACCATTTTTACTATGCTGATTATAGAGTTATTATTTCACATATATACACATGAGCAATTTGTCTTAAGATTTTGACTTAGTACCACAGAAGATCAAGAAAACTCTGCATTCATCTAATTAGATTATCATTCAAATACACAAATGGCCTTGTTTATTTAAATTAAAGAGTAAGTACTCAGCAAACAGTTTGACACATTGTATACTACACAGTGCTAGGGCAATACATAGCAAGTAAAGAATAATAACTGTATTTGCTATAAATAAAAGTTCAGCCTCATGAATGAATGTTCATTTGTAGACTTGTATACCCATCAAAATACTTTCCTTATGTTATAAGACACCCCTGAAGTTCCTTCTCTACACATACACTCCAGGTCTAGAAATCACAACTCAAATTTCATGGTGTGCAGTCATGCTGAGATGTCTCAGGAGACACAAAACAATGCTGATGCTGGAGTTAAAAGTTAATTCTTCCCACTGGGTTAATAAATAGGTAAAACCATTTTGAAGCAAGGGGGAAATCAGTGGGCTTGGAACTCAGAATGAATTAGTGAAGAAAGAGGCAAAATAAAGAATTGCAGAGTAGGACTATGACTGCCAAGAACTCAGCCTCTTGAAGTGGTGTGCTGGATGGGAAATAAGGATGACAAGGAGGCCCATTCAGGAGCCTCAACTTATAATCAGCAGTCCCCAAGCTCAGAATTAGATCCTTGTCTGTGAGGAGGATTTTGAGTACATCAAAATGAATAACACTTTTGTTTATGGGTGAGATAGAGACAGAAATGTTAAACTTAATAAATTTATCAAATCTCTCCCTTTAGTATTTCTGCTGGAAGCCTGACTCATTTTAGCTTTTTACTTTGTACCAAATCATCTAACCTTTAATTCAATGTCTTCTCACAAATTTGCATAGTAAAGAAATATCTCATTTGTTTATTTTGTAGGATGTATATTTTGTATTCGTTTATTTTGTAGGATGGCTGCAACTCTCAATCAATATGCACCAATCTAGGTGAACATTACCCAGAATACCAAGCAAAGCCCTGAGAAAAACAAGAAAAAGGAAAAGAGAAGTTCCTCAGTTTACTGACAGAGAAACACACTATCATCCTTTATATCTTTCAATAAAGAGGTACATAATTGAGCCCATAAGTGGTTCATAATTTTGTTACTAGAAAATAAAATTATTCACTTTTACAAAGAATTTGATTTTTGCTATGGTTTGGATCCAAAATGTCCTACAAAGGTCTCATGTATTTAGGAGTGGGGCCTGGTTGAAAGAGACAGGACATTAGGGGTGTGATCTGGAAGAGTATATTCTTGTCCCTGACTCCTCCCTTCTCTCTCTGCTTCCTAACTGCCATGACATGAGCAGCTTTCCTCTGCTGGGCCCTTCCATCATGCAGTCCCAGTCTTGGAGCTGTCCACCATGGACTGAATCTATTGAAACTATAAGCCAAAATAAATTTTTCATTCTCTAATTTGCAAGTGTCGAGTAATTTGTCCCTATAATAAGAAAGTAACTATTACAGAAAATTGTTACCCAGAGAAGGGTCACTGCTATAACTATACCTGACCATGTGGTTCAGAAGTCTTTGGAACTGGTTTCCAGGAGGAGGTTGGAAAAGTTTAGAGATTCAAGTTTGATCTAGAATGTTGTGAACAATGCTTGATGTGCAATACTAGTCAGAGCTCAGAAGACTAGAATGCTGATAAGCATGTGGACAGTAAAGGCCAGGCTCAGGACATTTCAGTTGGGAATGAGGACTTTATTAGAACTAGACTAAGGCCCATGCAGGTTTCATTCTGGCAAAAAATGGGTCTACATTTTGCCCATGTCCTAAAACTTTGTACTGTGAATTTATAAGTGGTTGGTTAATTAATCTGACAGAAGAAATGTCAAGGTAACCCAATGTTCAGATTGTGGGATGAGTACTCCTGGCTGCTTTTAGCTAGATTAACAGTGAGAATCAAGAGTAAGTGGTAGACCTTGAAATTTTTGCAGTTTTGTCAGAAAGAAAGCAGCTACAAAGTCAGGCCAAAGGAGAGAATAGTTGCTTAAAAGATTAACATTAGAAAGAAGCCAAGAGTCTTTCATCAAGACAATAGGAATGATGCCTAGAAAGCATCTCAGAAATCAGCAAGACTCCACTTGTTTTAGGCTCAAGGATGCAAAACTGTAATCTGTAAACCTTTCATTTGAAAAGAGAGTCCCTGGCATATCTAGTCAAGATTTTCCTAGGGAATTAGTTCCCTAGAATTATTTTCACTGGACTTAGCCATTCTACCACTCAGAAGCTGCTGAGTCAAGGTCCAAGGGTGCCAGGATACTGCCTGGGCCTGCAGACCTTGACATCATCCATATGGTGCTGGTTTTTTAAACATGCAGAATGTAAGAGTTATGGGGTCATGAAGGCTTCCACTCAGATTACAGAAGAAGGACTAGGGGACCAGGAAAAATATATATGTGACAAGGTCACAGTACCTGTCAGATGCATCTCAAAGGGTGATGCATGAAGGATGAGAATGAAGCCAAAGGTGCAGTGTAGACCCTAGGAAGTTAGAGATGCCAGGATTGTGGAACATCTGATGGGGAAAGCTTCAGGCAGTAAGGAGCCCCATCCCAAGACAGAGTCCATATGGACTGCAACAGCAAGGCCATAGGACCAGAGCCACCCTTTGGAGCTCATATCTCACCAAAACCTGCCCTGGACCTGGTATTGGACTTGGGGCTATAGGATTCAAAGTTTGTTCTTCTGGGTTTTGGTCTTGCTTTGGTTCAATTTCTTTGTATCCCCCTATTCCTCCCTTTAAGAATGAGAATGTTTTCTCTGTGCCATTGTATGCTGGAAGTGTTTAACTCTCTTTTTTATTTTTACATAGCTAAGAGTTTGCTTTGGTTCTCAGAGGAGACTTTGGATTTGAACTTTTCAGCAATGTTAGAAGTGCTAAAACTTTGGCAACTGTTAGAAATGGAGAGAATGTATTTTGCATAATGAAATGGACATGAGCCTTTTGGGAGCCAGAGATGGAATGTTATGGTTTAGATCTAAAATGTTCCTCAATGGCTTTATATATACAGAGGTATGGCCTTGATGGAAGAACAAAGTCACTGGAGGCATGACTTAGAAGGGTATATTCTTGTCCCCAGCACCTCCCTTCTTTCTCTGATTCCTGGCTGTCATGATGTAAACAGCTTTCCTCCACCAGGCCCTTCTACCACAAAATTTGTGCCTTGGATCCAAGTAATCACGGACTGAACCCACTGAAATTGTAAGCAAAAATAAGCATTTCCTCCTTTAAGTTGTGAATGTTGAGTATTTTGTTCCAGTGAAAGGAAAGTGACTAATACAGTCTTAATGTTTTTTATTTAATATTTTATTAAATGTTTTTTAAAAGCTTTTATGGAATTTTCTTTGATGTCAAATGCTTATCTGGATATTCATTCTTGCTAATGTGTAAGGGTTAAATATGTTTATTCATATGATGCTCTTTTATAACAAAACAAAATAAATGAACAACATATCCAAAAAAAGAAAGAAATCAGTGGAGGTGGGAACATTCTAAGTATTCAGGCAATATTGTATCAATATCACTCAAAGGTATTCTGATACAGGACACTGGCTACACAGACCTGGACATATACCCAAAGACATTTAGTGTAGTTAGTCCCAAATGTGCCAAGGCAAATGTTAAGTTTTGAAGAACTGAATTGACATTCATTTGTTGGTCACACTACTGGTGCCACATACAGACTATTAATCTGGGAAATCAGCACTCAATCAGCCACATAGCTTTTAAAATATGACTCTCTACAGGGAATTCCTCTGATATCATCCAAATATGTACGACTTCCCCTGTCTGTCCCTCTACCCAGTACTAATGTTGAGACCTTTAATGGAATGAGCAAAGGAATCACAAGACTCCCAAAAGCAGATAGAAAATCGCATGGGCTTTGAGGACAGCCAGTGTAACCTCACAGGAGTTGAGTACTGGACCACAACTCTTCCTCCTTCTGAATAAGAATGGAATAAATGGAAATGTGTTGACTATGTTGTGAAAAAAAAAAAAAGGCCAAGAAGCAAGCTTTTCTGATGAAGCACAGTAGGAATTACTCAGGAGGAGACAGAAGGAGAAGAGGGAATTCTGCTGACTGAAAGAT